TGATCGCTGAGTTATGGGACGTATGTTTTTCATATTGGCACTTATCGGGATCTGACCAGTATTCACTTTGACAAAAGTTCAGATTGGAGAGATATAATTTTATATCAAATATTTCAGATGACCAAATGCAGGCATTCGTATCTCTGTTAAATATACTGACCTCTTCACGGATAAAAGGGATGGGAGTGAGATGACTCCGTTGGGGTAAACTTGGCAACGTCAACATGCAGTTGAGCTCTAGCGCCCTTGAGCCAGTCACAATGCAACGATACATCCTCGGCAGCGGTTGATATCATGATATGAAGCGACTCTTAGTAGCGATAACCTCAAAATCTACATCATTTGATCCAAGCCCATGATTTCTTGTTGTCCCTTGACATGTGCTCGTCACGCGACAAGGGGATCGGCCCGCGGATTACGGAACGGGGCTCGGTGCTGTAGCTGTTCCTGGATTATGCATCTTTGCCCCCTTGTCTCCCGGAGAATCCTAGACTTTGCAGAGATCCTTGTTTCGAGGTTCTTTGTTCGACATGTGAAATCCCACTTAAAAAAGTTGAATTGGGATTTTACGTTGTTTCCATGTGATTGGAGATATCGTTGAGAGTGAAATAATCTTTCAAGCGTACTTCATATAGTGTTTTACCTTATATGGCTATAACTCTGAGTCTGAGCTTGTTCTAGAAAAACAGCTTCCAATTGACATATGCAGCCACAGCAATGAACATCTGCTTGCATGTGAAAAACTGCCCCTCGGCCTCATCAAGGTCTTGAGATTTCTCCAGCTCCATTATCACGGATATCAATGGGGTTTTGATGGGACGCTTTCCCCCTTGGAGCAGGCGGTGTCACTTATCTCATTCTGCCATGCGTCATTGTGGCTTGCTCCAGGGTTCAACAACCTGGAAAGCTGGAGCTGGTTCCCTCGGACTATTCAGCTTCAGTACCCCTCATAAAGCTCTTTTTTCGCCCTTACCTTGCACAACTCTCGATTCTTCTCTTCCCCTCTGTATGTTTCGATCGCTTGTAGTGCGCTCTTCTTTTGTCTTTGCTAAATCTTCGAGGTTACTGTCTTGTACTACTACTCATATCCGCTCTTATTCCTCTGCGACATTCGGCAACATGGCGAGCTTGGGTGGACATTCAAAGAAACACAAGGTGACCATTGTGGGATCCGGTAACTGGTATGTCTTCCGCTTCTCTGTCTTTGCTTGAGCCATTGACTAAAGATACTGTTCAGGGGCTCAACAATCGCCAAGATCGTCGCTGAAAACACACGCGCCAACAAAGATCTCTTCGAGGAAGATGTCCAGATGTGGGTCTACGAGGAGGACGTGACGATCACCAAGGACTCCAAATTATATGACGAAACCACGGGCGACAAGCCCCAGAAGCTCACAGAAGTCATCAACAAGCACCACGAGAACGTAAAGTACCTGCCAGGTATTCCTCTGCCCTCAAACATCATCGCCAACCCCGACATTCGCGACGCTGTCAAAGACTCCACCATCCTCGTCTTCAACTTGCCCCATCAGTTCATCGCAAACGTCTGCAAGCAAGTCAATGGACACATTCTTCCTTATGCCAGAGGAATCAGCTGTATCAAGGGTGTCAATGTCACTGATGACGGTATCAGCCTGTTCAGCGAGTGGATTGGTGATGGACTAGGCATTTACTGTGGTGCCCTCAGTGGTGCTAACTTGGCTCGTGAAATTGCTGAGGAGAAGTGGTCAGAGACTACCATTGCTTACGATCCTCCTGCTCTTGACAACAGCAGAGCACCCACGCCACGAACCGGTAGCCCCAACCCTACAATTGGAGAGCTCCCTGAGATGCAGCACAAGGACGTTCGAGGCCGAACTTCAAAGACCAAGCTCACCGCTATGCCGGCTGATTACCCTCCCCTGGATCAGGATTGCTTCCGAACGCTCTTCCACCGACCTTACTTCCACGTCCAGTTGGTCTCCGACGTTGCGGGTGTATCTCTGAGCGGTGCCTTGAAGAACGTAGTTGCTCTCGCAGCTGGTTTCGTCGACGGTCGTGGTTGGGGTGATAACGCAAAGGCAGCCATCATGCGCGTCGGTCTCATGGAAATGGTCAAGTTCGGCAAGGAATTCTTCGGCGAGACCGTCCACACAGCTACCTTTACCGAATCTTCCGCCGGTGTCGCCGATCTTATCACATCCTGCTCTGGCGGTCGTAACTTTCGCTGTGCCAAGAAGGCCGTCGAGAAGGGAATTTCAGTACAAGAAGTTGAGAAGCAGGAACTCAACGGACAGAAGATCCAGGGTACAACCACTGCAGAGGAGGTGAACAGTTTCCTCAAGGCTCGTGGTCTGGAGTCGGAGTACCCGCTGTTCACGGCGGTGAATGCCATTCTCAACGGACAGGCCAAGGTGGACGACATTCCCCATCTTGTGCAGGATTCTTGATTTCGAGGGATGAAATATTTAGCGAGTGTATCGTTGATTGTATGTATGCACTGTGGCGTTTGTATGGCTTAGGTGGTTCTACATGGTTTACTCGGATCAGGAGGGAATACGCAGTGATTTAGAGTCATGAGTGATTGGGGCTGTACTTTGCTAAGTGGAAGGACGGGTTATATACATGAAAATGAACATAGAAATGATATCTACTTATGAATACAGCTATTCTTTGAGAATGCTTTATTGTTTTGTATGAGGAGCCGTGATTCGGTTGCATGTGAGACACTGAACATTCCTGGACATGAGAATGAGAATTTTGAGGCTGAGACCTGCAGCGTTGCTGAAGATTCTATCGTAAACATTACCTATTGCGGCTTGGCAGGGTCCCTCATAAGTCGTACAGACCAACAGCTCGTGTAAGTGAAGTGCAAAACGATATCACAACGTTTTTGTTCAGAAGGATCCTGGTTCTCGGGATTATGCTCAACTTGGTAAGATACATTCCAAGAGGATGAACCGAAAGAGATTGATAGGAAGCACTTGACCTCGCCGAATTTATGAGGATAGATGAGGATTACGCGGTGGAAGCCGCAATGGGCATGAGATTCCGCCTTCAGTTGAGACAAGATAACATGGCGACGGGAAAGGCCGAGCAACGAATGCCTTTTACATCACCAGAAATCTCAGTTTTGTTCTTTTGCCATTAGTTTTCCCTTGTTCTAACCTTGGTCTTCATTTCCTCTTCAGCATCCTTTTATTGACCCTAGCCAGCTTCTTCAAGCATCTCTTGCTCCGATATCGCCTCTCTCTTCACAAGCTGGCTTTTGTTTTGTTAGCATGTTTTAATCCCTTCAATACTCGCACTTTACTTCACGATATATAGTAGATACAAGTTGCAGAGCACGATAGCGCGTCGGCATTATCATGGCGGAGGTTGATTCAACCGTCCCACAGACATCGATGGACCCTACTCAGAATTTCGGACAATACATGAGCGGAGCAGATCAGAGCAGCACGGAGAATAGCCACGGCCAGAAAAAACATAAGAATGTTAAATATCGCTTCCTATCGTCTACAGAATGGGCCATTTTTGCTCGGGGAGTTGGCGGGATTAGAGATATAGAAGACAATAGGCCTGTTCATCCGACCAATAGCTTCTGGCCCCCGCACGGCATTCCTCATGGCCTCTATCGCGACTGCATCTACCGTCGTGCCATTTCATCCTACTCATTTCACTTCATCGGCCTTGTTCGCGCAATTCTTTTTGTCCTGCAGTTGATGATCGGTGCCAGCATCACTGCTCTCAGCTCTGGAGGCGCCAGCGACACAGCAATCACTATTCTCGCTGCGTCCAACACAGTCATCGCAGGGCTGCTGGCTCTGTTGCACAACAGCGGTATTCCGGATCGATACAGATACGACAAGTCCGAGTTTCAAAAGGTCGAAGATCACATTAGAGAAGTTCTCGCCACGGGTATTGTACGTGCGGACCAGTCGGTCCAAGAGGCTCTCGCTAAGTGCTACGATCGTTTCGAACACGCCAGACGAACAGTTGAGGCCAATATGCCATCGTCTTATGCCCCAAGCTCATCAACGCCTCCTTCACGGCGTGGATCGCAACCTCAACATCAGCCACTACCGCCAATGCCAATGCCTATGCCGATACCAGCACGAGCACCAACGACAGTGGCATCAACACCGACACACACGAGAGCAGCAACAGAACCTATCACACCGCCTAGGATGAAGCCACTACATGCTGAAGCAGCCCAAGGAGAAAAAGGTCCAACCACCATCAAGCCTAGCGAATGATGCAAGGCTAGAGCTCGGCAAAGAAACTCCAACGGGATGCGGTCATTTCCTAGCTTTGCCGCTTATCAGATAAATTACCTACCGAAATCGACTTATTTTGCGACTAGGGCTGTTGTTGTACCTGCATTAGTCTGATTATTGGCAAGAGATTAAATTACCACCCAACCTAGTTCTCGTTCCGTCATAGCCTCTCACCCACCAGGATTCAACATCAGCATCCTTCATGCATTGATTGGGACTTTGAATAGACGCTGTCAGGAAAAGGAGTCAAAAGATCTTCAATTCTGACACTGGCTCCAATTGTTTCTCATTACTGTATCTGGACATATCGTGACCTGAGACCTCCACTGATCAACCATGAAACGAACCACGGACCTTGTCACAGTTTAATTGCTTGCCTTGGCCTTCCCCTCTTTAACCGTTATTGACGTGGTGCGACCAGGGATCATGGTCTGGGGCGCCTAGTTTCATGATGCTCTGAAGGATGGCCTCCCCCCACTGCGGCCATTTACCACTTACACTAGACAAGGGCATTGTGACAGTCTGTCACTCTACGCCATTTGACTCTAATTTGCTTAAATCTCTCGCTGTGCCTCACGACTCGCGAGTCAAAGCCTCTTCGCTTCTTCTCTTTCACCGTAGTCAGTCCTTACCCGCCTCTCGCAGCGTGATCATGCCTTTGTTATAGCCAAGCAACACACTCATTTATCCAGGTTATACCCACCCAAGTCACTCTTTTTTACTGGATTGGATCGTCTATTCATCATGATTATGATTTCTAGCCCGCCTACTATTCCCCGCAGGGTTGTTCAACTGCTTGTTCTCGTTGTCGTCGTTGTTCTCTTCTTTCAGACAAGATGGCTGCACTGGCCTCGAGCAAACGCCAACAATGAAATCGCCATCAAAGGACCAGTTCCGGAAGAACAGTACCTCGAGCGACTGAGGCAGAAAATTGGGCTTTCGGATCAAACTTCATGGACTGCATGGAAAGTCCGTGTTTCAGAGCAGGACTCTGAGTATACTTCAGTGACGAACATCGATACAGACTTTCATTCAAATCAACCACGAATTATCGACACCAAGACTCCCGAGAGGAGGAACCTGGTTGCACGACAGGAAATGAACCTTCCCATTGTTGGAGGACCGAAGCCAGGACAGATCGACGCTTCGGACTTTGTGTTTGCGATCTCGACGAGTTTTGATCGCGTTGTGAGGGATGATTACGCTGTTGCGAAGGATTGGGCAAGATGGATGACTGGTGGGAATCAGCATGGGAACGGAGCGAGTTTTCTGCTTGTTCTGGATCAGGGACATTATCAACAAGCGAAGAAGCTGACCGAGGTGTTGGTTGCTCTCGGCATTGATGCTCACGTTACGATATCTGAGGGTCAGATCTCGACGGCCAAGAGATACTTCAACATGATGGAGTCGGTCAAGAAGTACAGCGCTACACTCGCACAGAAAGGACAGATGAAGAAGTGGTACGGCATTTTGGACGAGGAGATCTTTCTACCCAACCTTTCATATCTCCAAGAACGACTATTCGCGTACAACTCTGAGAAGGAATTGTACATTGGACTACCTAGCGAGAGAGGAGACTGGGCTATCGGCGAGGGATTCATGACGACGTATGGAGGTGGAGCCATCTTTCTTACACGGCCTGCTATATCCAAAGTCACGCATCTTCCATGCTTTGATGGCGTCGAAGACAGCCCTACAAGCAAGAAACGCTGGGACGGTATTCTTCAGGACTGTTTGGCGAAGCATACCAAGATGAAGATGCACATTATCCCAAGCTTCTATTCACCTAAGGATAACGACGATTACTCTTCCCATCTGGATAGCTATGAGACGGGCATTCAACCCCTGGCGTTACACGACTATGAAGGACGTCATCACCTGACCCCAAGCCAAGCTCATCTCGTCACCGACGTCTGCGGCGAAGCATGCTTCCTCCAACGCTACCGCTTCCGCGACAACTGGGTCCTCGTGAACGGGTACACTATAACCGAATACCCCGATGGAATCCACCTCTCGGACATGCCCCTTTCCACCGCTGGAAAGGCCAGTTCTTCTCGTCGTTCCGTCATTGGCCCCGTGAAGCTCAAAGAAAGAGACACAGACCGAAAGATGCTGTTCTGGACAGGACGGCGAAATGTGTGGAAGCTGATGGACTCTGTCACTACCACTGAGGGTGATGTGTGGCAGGCTTACGTGAAAAGAGGTGTTATCGATGAGCCGGCCTTGAAGAAGAGATGGGGTGAGGAAGTGGGTGACATCAAGGATAGTGTGATTGTGCTGATCTGGGAATCAGCGAAATGATTATGATGGCTTTAAGGATTCTTATGTATGTATGTTATGGTTACGGATCGTCCTTTGGATGAGATTTTTGTTTAGCACTTATGAAGATTGATATGTTATTCTGCTACAAGTATGGTGTCACTTTTGGCCAAAGGATTTATTATGTCATTTTCTGACAAGACAGTCACAAGTGATGTTTTAAAATGATTAGTGGTGGTACAATTTATATTTTTGATGTAAGTGTATATTAAAACATTTTGCCATACTGTAACTAATTAAACAAATTATTCTTTGCATTTTAGACAAACAAATAACATTATGTCTAACATCCATATAACTCTACATAAAAAAAAACAAATGCAACTCATGTCTCATCATTCTCTGGGCAATATGCCCTAGTTCTGTTCTTTGGGGGCATATATTTTGGCCCCCCAATCGCCGAGGCGACCACTTATCCAGTAGTCTTGCCCGTCCTCTTTCTTCTCCAGCCGGTCCTTGTAGCCGGCGAAGAAGTCTCCCACGGACTCTGGGAGGTTCACCTGCTCCAGGACCCCACGGTCCAGGCCGTCTATGCAGCCTCGGAGCGTATACGACTTGCCGTCGATCTTGAGAACCACGCCCAAGAACTCGTCCATCGCCTTGGTGCGGTCTGGTGCCCGCTTGACCTCCGCAATAATATCCATTATTACGTTTTGGTAGGTGCAAGTCTTGCACCGCTGGTCAATGCTACCACCCTTGCCCACGACATGCGGGGTGAATGCCATGCGTGGTACACTGCATGGCATGGGTTCCCCGTAGAAGGGATGTCCGCAGGCAGGGTGGTAGCATGCGGCTCGGCACTTGATGCAGGAGGCACGAGCTCCCTCCTCCGACTTCATGTCGAAGTACCTCTTGACGCACGAGGCGCCAAAGATGTGTCCACAGGGGAGGATAACGGCCCTGTGGCTCTCGCCGACTTCCTCCTCAACGACGTGATCTTTTGGGAAGATGGTCACGTCGGTGCGGCAGACAGCACACTCGATGGAGAGGTCCTTGAACTGGACCTTGTTGCTGTCGATGCTGGCTTCTAGGTTGGGCCAGTAGCTGTCTTCGGAGTCCTCTGTGATGTTTGGTGTATCGTCGGGAATCTTGCACCAATCTTCATTGTTATTGAGGTCCTCCGGAACACAAATTGTGTCTTTGGGGTGGGTAGAGGAGATGTGTTGGAAGAGAGTGGTGATGTGTCCACACATGATGGAAGATGTGGTGGAAGATGACGTGAAGATAGTGTGAGAGGTAGTGTGAGAGACAGAGGTAGTGCGAGAGGTAGAGGTAGCGTAAGAGATGTGTGTAGCAAGAAGATGTAAGTCGAGAGATGTATGTCGCGAGATGTATGTAGAGCGAGGACGTATGTAGAGAGAAGCTGTATGTAGAGCGGAGATGATGTCGAGCGAAGAAGTATGTCGAGAAGTGATAGAAAGTTGATTGTGATGTATGTCAAAAAGTGATGGAAGTTCAAGTTGATGCAATTGAAGCTGATGATACAAGGTCGTGAGATATCAGGTAACTCGGTGACAGAAGACAACTTGACGAAAAAAGAATCTGAAGAGAATTTGAAGAAGGGAATGAACAAAGGGGGGAAGGGGCTCTTATATAGTCAGAGGAGTGATTAAGTTCTGCTCAAGTCCAAGGGCTTTGAGCGGGAACTTAGATCGTAAAGTTTATAACTGAATCTGTTGGTCAGTGTGATGAAGAAGGGGGAGCAAACGCCAATATCTACACTCAAAATTGCACAAGGGACCAATCGATGGATGTTCCTGGAACAGAGACTGACTTACTGAATTGTACGGGAAGAAAGCTTTCATCTTTTGGGAGAATATTTCTGGAGATATTGTTTCGTAGTGTTCACGTATTGGTTGAGCTCTTTGATCGAGTCACCTTTGTAGTCCATTCAAGCATGGATTGTGGCTGAGTGTTCACTTACACAAATATAAGCTTCGCACCGCAACGAGCAGACCTTTTTAACATCCACATGATAGGCTGGCCTTTTGCTGGATGCCTGGCTTTATCGTTTAAACTTCTGAAACGCGTAGATTGCTATTGGGTCATGGGACGATGAACCAAAGTATAATCCCCGGTTCTCAGCTTCACCCTCATACGATCTTTGGCTGAGCTGTAGTCGTGATGTTCTGAAGACTGAAATAGTGATTTCTCGTGTGAATGGAGTCTTATTAGCTATCTGAGCTTGATCTAAGGTGTCTCCCCTGCACAATCTCAGATCATTACTACTGTATTAACTTCTGCTTGTATGTATGAAGTCAAACATGTGCGTAAACTTTTGTAACAGTAACACTGCCCGAGCTATTGGCCACCATGTCTGGGCAAATAAAGTACAAGCTTTCTTACAACTTAGAAAATCTAGAAACTGTGGGAAATTCGCCATGGCCAATTGTAACCTCCAGATTATTGGCCATTGTGAATATTGCTTGGGCTCGACTTTGGACTCCAGGCGTAAGGACGCTTGGTTTGATGTCTATTGAGCAAGTTTTAATCTCAGGCAAATGAAATCTTGAGAAATATAGATGCCTGCCACTAGAGTTCGGTTTCGAAAGAAAACAGACTCTTCATTGGATGAACATTATGGCCGCGCCTAGTGACTGTAATGTTGGTGTCTGCATGCAAATCATATGATCACCCACCCAGCACTGGGTCCTACCAGACACAGATAGAAGCGTCCAGAATCTACGAGAGTCGATATTGAATTCTATTACATGTTAATGTAGTGTAATCCTATCCACTAGAAGTTACGCTTCTCGTAGTAGAAGTTTCAAGGGCCATTTAGCAGAGGTGAAAGGCTCTCATGGTGAAAACGAACGCCAATCAAGCCAATATTAAAGGACTCATACTTCAACAGAGTTCTTTGCCTCTTTTTCTATTGTTAGTGGCCTGAAAATGAGTGATTATACTCTACGTGGACAAATCTTGGGAACAGCGGCACTGGAAGGGGGAAGGTATGGGAAGCCTGTTTCTGGGCATGACACTGGCAGCTAAGTGATTGCATTAGGTAGTAGGATGCCAGTCAAGGCTCTTTTTCTGTGCCTCTACACTGAGCACAAGGCGCAATCCCTTGCTCAAGCCGAACACGACTTTGCCCTGGCATATCATACTCTTCAATCTCAAAAAATAGCTAATCCCACGATCTCAGACTCTGCTTAAGACAGGATATGCATCATTATCCTCCCACCCTTCGATTGCATGGGCCCAAAGGGAATCACCGAGGAGGCTTAAAAGTTATTCCAGCCCCAGCTTACCTCAGGAACTGAGAATAGCAACGTGAAACCTTGAAGAACTTGCTCCAGAATATGGAAATTGCCAGGCCATCACTATTCCCCCCTTTCGAACGTCTGCTACAGACAAGGAAGATACTCACCAGGCGTGATCCTCCCCTATGGGCATATCTTTGGGTTTTTCACTTCGGGTAGAATGTTTGATATTGCCTCCAGACCAGAACCGAGATCTGCCGCCTTCTGCAGAACTGTATTCGTCCAACCTATTGTGTGCACTACTTCATGGGTTATATCTGCCTTCAAATCAACCAGATATGGATATCATCCCTCCCACGCTCAATAATGGACGCATTATTGTCGACTCCAGCGACGGATGCGCCATCAATGACACCAGAGACGAGCTTACCGACAACATCAATAATCTCCTCCCCAAAGAGTCCGAGGGGCGTTATGTTGTAACTGCAGTCCACGGCGGTGAGACTTTTCTCCTTCCCTAGATGCGGAACTGCCCGGTTTTCTCTCTTCAGTGGTGTCTATAACCTTCTTGTCTCAAACCAACGATGCCTGGATAAGTATGAGCGCATTACGAAGCTCTAAAATAGCTATTGCCATACTGGCACCCTAGTGAAGGCCTGCGACCTTGGATCTTAGCAGTAAATGATATAGCTGGGAGGTGACTTGTAGAAACAGACACAAGTACTTTGGCTCAAACATGTTGTTGGAGGGGGATATCTGGTTCAAGTTTGGAGTTTGGCAGAGATTGTTGGCTTCTGTCTATCTCTCTTAGTTTGTATTTGTTCTTCAGTTGCAAATTTCTGATTACGCGTACCTATTCAGATATAAATAAGCGCCCAAATTATTTTTTCCTGGAGTTCTCTCAGCGCAACCTGGGGTTCTTACCTTCGCCTTGTATATAATAGTTCATCTGTAATCATGTGCCAACAAATGCACTCACCGATATACCGAGACACATTCACTATATCCGCCGTCAAATGAACAAAGGCCATTATACTATATAGTATTCCGTCACTTGCCGTAACTATCATGAGATTTCGGCGATCAGTCCTCGGCCTGGACCACAAGCTCAGTAGACGGCCGAAGTGAACTCCTTTCCCCATTACCAGTGACAGAAAGCCAGTGCCAGCGACTGAGTCTTTCATCTGGACTTTGATACTGTCACTGGCAGACACAGCTCTAGTGGCAGTGGTGCGTACGAAGAAATCACCCTGGTTGAGAGCACTTGTTCAAGTTCGACTTTTGTTCTGTCCCTACAACACAAGAAATTCGAGGCTTCTTCAGCTCTTTCTTTTCTTCATCCTTACAAGAACTCCGAGACTACTTGTTCTACAGCCTTGCATATTCAACAAGTCTGTAGTCCTTCAAGGTAACCCAGACTTTCAACTGCATCCTTCTTTCACCTATTCCCATCATCTTCATACCAGGCTAACACAACAAACCAGAACGCAGTGTACCTAAAGCCACAAACTGCTGTCGACGTATCTTGGAAACCCCTGTGAAAGAATTCCCACATCGCAGCACTTATTGTCGACCTAAATCCCAAGCGACATGCCCAACCAGGAGCACTTCTGGCCCAATCTCAAGGCCTTCGCCCAGAACAACAGGGTCGCTAATCTGGAGACCCTCGGCCTAGAGTGTGTCGTCTGCAGAGATTCCTTCCACTACCGAGGCCAAAGCGATGATGAAACTCAGCCTCCGCGTCGTCCTCGCGTCCTCCCATGCGGTCACATTCTGTGCGCTAGATGTATACTCGCATACTACGACACAGGTGACACCCGGTGCCCTATCTGCCGCACAGAACTAGTCCACGACTGCGGCCACGCTCACACCGGCATGCCTCTGCCCTTGACTCCGGGTAATATGAACAAGCTGCCTCCCATCCTATCGCAAGGTGGCGGTATGCCACGAGGATGCGGCCCCTGCGGAATCCTGGGTTTGCAGAGACTCTTTGAGCGAGAACTGAGAAATAGCCCCTATATTCCAGAAGAGCTCAAGGGCGAGTACCTGGGTATCGGCATCATGCTTTATAACAGTGACGAATACTGCTCGCGGGAGGTGACTGGACCGGTTCTCGAAATCGAGGCTCCTACCTCCATCAAGCACATGATCAGCGAGATTGTCGCCTACGCGGTCCGATCGCAGCGACGGAACGAGGTTTGGTTGGAAGCGGACTTCAGCTCGATGAAGATTCGGGTGCTTCACTTCAAGCCCGAAATTCTGTCACGGGTTGAAGAGTCCCCTGCAGAGCAAGAGACTGCCCCCAACAATGAAAACTGATGGCTATGTAGGGAAAGAGGCTCTTGGAGATGAGGAGACGTGAGATCTGTGAGAGTTTCGGTTCCTGGTTGAGGCTGAGGATGACCAGATTTTGGATGAGGATACCCCTTAAGAGAAATTTCTTGACTATTTGGCCAACGATTTAAAGACTGAGATAACCGCAGACAAGAAGATATTATCTATTAGAAAATCAAGCAAGTAAGTTAAGAAAAGAAAAGTCAATAAAATACATAAACCTACCTACCTTATTAAGTAATGTTAAGAGAGGGTAATAAGATAAACCAACATGGCTAGTCTAGAGCCCCTACTATTAGCTGATAATTAAGATCTAGAGATAGGAACTAGTAATAAACTTTTAAGCTATCCCTTAAACTGTATATCAGTACCAGCCAAGTTTAAGTTTAATAAAACGGTAATAATAGGATGTACCGGCTAGTACCTGGCTATTGCAGCTTCTAGGCTCGTAATGTTATGCTCTTAAGGTTGAATGCCAGTAATGTGACTATTATTGGCACTATAAGACTGGATGCAGGTAGAGATATTATTGTGAGAGAATGTAGCTATATGGCTCTGTAATAGTTCTGGGGCTTCTTGGCGAGCTTCTACCGCAACACTACTAAACTAGGTACCTTAAATATAAACATGTATTCAGGAACTGTAGGTTCTGATGTAAGAGTGTTTTCCTATTTGTCTCTAAAAGTAACTGACCGAGTAACTGAGACTACCCCTCTGGAGCAAGGAAACTTGCGACACTGAAAGATGCCAAAATCTATTCGCCAAAGAGACCCTCAGAATTAGGCTAACATACCGAGATCTTGATATATTCTAAGATCTAGATCATAGCTTTCACTTCTCTGTTGAGTAACATCGTTGTCATACTGTATAGAGTACCAAGCTATGCCATGCCTACCCTGGCTGGTAACAAGGTGTTAACTCTTTGATTGTAGAGCAGGAGAAGTTGGATAATCACTTATGTTCAGGTACTTTAAAGAACACTTTTTCAATGCCTATCCAACAATCACATTTATTCCCCTATACATACCTAACTATGCTAATAAAAAAACAACCACATTCATGACAAAATACCCCCAGTACCCTCAACGACTCTCGCCCCAACTGTCCCCAGAACCAGCAGACGATGACAGGTCATCTACATACTCACTTCGCAAGGTTCTGTTCCGCAATTCTTCACCCTTCGCCTCTCACTACCTTGACAAATGTGCCTAGCAAGAAAAGCACCGAATTGGTAACTACTAGCCAAAAGCCCACCAACAACCGAGATAGTAGCCAAGGGTTAGAGTCTAGGATTCTCGCTATCCTCGTCATCCTGGCCATCTAGTTCATCCCGGCGGCCTGAATCTCCTCCTCCAGCTCTAGAGTCTCAAAAAAAGATAACCTCCAGACGTTCCTGGTTTCTCATACGTCTCTGATGCTCCTTGTAATCCTCATCACTGATGAACGCCTCACCTAGCTCGATTGCACCCTTGAAAGCTTCGAGAAGTCTCCTCCGTTCGGTACTGTCTGGTCGGCGCCACCCCACCCGTTCGACAAAGTCCATCTATCCTCTTCGATGCGGCCAGTCCTTATGTTCCTCAGGATATCGCTTGCAAAGAGCCAGTTCAAAGTCAAACAGGGTGGATTCTTCCTCTTGAGCAAGCCCGTTCCATACCGTGTCGAGGCCCCTTCCCGCAAGGTTGAACAGTTCCATAGGCTCTGCCGATATTGGCAACTGTCTGACCACTTCTGCGTTGTCAGATTCTGCTCGAACTTCCTTGTCATCGCGTTTCTGAGCCGTAACTCGCAGCATATGTCCGTCTTTGATCAACGGTGCGGGATCGTGTTCGTAGAGAGCGATGCGTCGCAAGTTACGGACCAATGTAGCCATTTGACACGAGACGCAAGGGCCCTCGGGGTTGGAGATTTCATCCTTCAGTCTAGCCAAAAGGCTCTCATCTTGATGCTGAGTGGGCTCGAATAACGTATCTTTGTCGCCCGGACACCCACAGATCTTGCCTTTGAGATCAGTGCGACAGACAGGACATTTGTAAGGGATATCATTGGAAAGGGTGTGCGTTCTATACTCTTTGACACAAGGGGGATAGAACATATGACCGCAGGGGAAAATGATAGCATCGCAAGTCTTGTCCTCTGGGTTACTCATCTTGTCCTGGCACATGCCACATTCGAGCTCTAAGCGCTCAATAGCGGTAGGATCATTGTTGATGATCTTTGCAAGCTCGGGATAGTAGGCCGTGGTGATAAGATCTTTGGGGGAAGACATTTGGAGAACCTATTCGCTGTTAATTGAAATGGTTTGATAGTTGCAGGATCGCTGATGGTATGATGGATGGGTAGAAGAAGTTCCTTGCTACACTGGGTTAGGAGGTGAGATAGTATTATATACTTTGAGATCAAGACTTATGATATACCACTGTCACTGAACATAGTCACTGTGCCGCTGGAGACTTCACGCTTATGATAATGAACGGCTCTTCATCTGTTGATCTAACAGGATCTTTGTTAGCACATAACCAGACTATCTTGCACAATGGGTCTGGTGAAGGAACAGACCGCGTCCAACTATGTTCTTTGAAAGCATGATCTTCAATTTCTTCTTGCACTGTGGGGGTTCTTCCATTGGTGTCGCTGAGGAGCATTTGTCTCTGTCCCTTAGTAAAAGAGCGTTATTCCACTATTGAGTAGAGGCTACGTTTCCGTCCATACGCTAGGGCATACTTATAACCTGATGATAAGGGTCTACGAGTAATCCATGCTGTGTTCATGATAGAGACTCCATTAGCACTTCTCAGTTGCAAAAAGGGCGGATACTCTTACTGAGTGTAAGTGAATAATGATCAACCCTATTTGCAAGATGGCCTAGAAGATTTGGAGACAATCCCAAGCCAGTCCATTCATGCATCATCTCTATAGTTCTTGCGCATATACAAGCTCAAGTTCGAGGTCACAATGGAAACTTAACGATGAGCACAGCAGTTTATTCCTTGACCCATCACTGGATATCTGTATGAAGCGAAGTAAGTGGCCTACTCCTACTACGCTTTACTTACCTTACTTACCCTTTCTTCAAACCACGTACACATCTGGCTCTTCATCTTCGCCGTCTCCAGATTCATCTTCGTCGTCTCCAGCTGCTTCTTTGACTTCGTCTATATAATCCATCATACTCATTTTCCCACGCTCTACTCGCTCTTCCATTTTTATACGAATATTCTCATCAGACCAAAGATCGCGCAGGTCGTAAGCGAGGTCCAAGACCATGAGCTTTCGGCTTCCAAGCCAATTGTCTCGTATCTCCTGCTCCATCTTCTCGATGTGGCGTCTCTCCCACACGAGAAAAATATCCTGTCTGTCTCTCAGTTCATAGAGACGAATTTCATAGTTAAATACTGTTGAGCCATCATCAGGTACCGCAATCCCGTGGGCCTTCAGAAGGCCCTTTTCAATCATTTTAATCGGCACCTCAAGATCTATGGGCAACGAGACCTGGTTGACGAGCCTCAAATCATCATCCGGTGGGGGACCACCCCATGTCCTACCTTCATATTCGACGCAGATTCTCAGAAACTGTCCATCGTTGACGACGTCAGTACAATCCATTGATATCTTCAACATCATTTGCAGCCAGGTTGTGAAGGCAGCCGCATCGCAACTGAAGCAGTACCACCGATTACGCCGCAGCTTTAGAATGTCTTCTATAAGCGCAATTGACTTTCCCTCGTCCCTGTGGATCAGACTGCCCTTCTCACAGGGGGCTAGGCAAGTTGCACAATGCAGACACGCACGGCACGTTGGACAAACATGGTGCGCCTCGTTGTCGTTTTTGCTATGGGCTACCATCGCGTCTACGCATCCTTTACAATAGATTTGCATACAACGGAGGACAAACGCACGGAGTTGAGGATCAGTTCCATCTTCCAATGTCATCTGTTCGTGGCAAATCCCACACTTGAGTTGGATAACCAGAATGTCGTTAGGATCGTCATCACAAGCTTTCAAGAATGCAGGGAAGAAAGTTTCTGTGATAGGCATCTTGGCGGTGTGATCGAAAGAGCTGTCGAGAAAGGTTGTGGTCGCCAGTTGGTTAGAGATGAAATACTGGAATGTTAAGTTCACAGGCGTACAAAGGCTTCTTTGCGCGCTTGATCATTCGTATCCATAGCTGGATTTGATGGATTTATATAAACTGCCTCAAGAATTACATCTTTTCCCTCATTTAATTATTTTGAACATGATAAGAGTTTAGATAGACGCAGTATGTGAGCGGTAGGGACAACTCATTGTCAATGGATACCGCAGCCCAAGCTTCAAGATCGTAGACACGTCCACCAAGTTCCAAGGGACTCAATTGACAATACAAGTACATAGTCTGAACATTACGGCAGTTAGAGAACAAGATTTAGTTTGTTTATTCTCAAAGTCCCTTACTTGGTTGGTTTGTAAAGCCAACAAGGTCCTTTGTTATTCTCACCGGTCTTTAGACGCTGGCCAGGTCTGTACCAACCCAATTGAGTATAGGAACTTGTCAACTGACTTCTAATAATAGTCACCTCCGAATTTGTGAATACATATCAAGAATCCATTGATTACTGCTTGAGACCAACAGTCGATGCCATGGCATCTCACGTTGGGAATGAATTCCGCATGGGCTTCCGCAGTGACGTAGGGTAACGTGATCAACATGAACCCTTGCAATGCAACGTCGAGGGACGTTTCAGGAAAATGTGAGATCTGACGTGTCCCAATCAGATTTGACTGTAACCTGTTCCAAGGCCTGTATTTTCCATTTGTGGAAGGTATTCAGTGGAGTCAGGCCATTCGCTAGCCATGATCTTCGCTCGGTTTACAACTCTATCGTCGTGTTTCCAGCCTGTCACTTGACTCACTTTGGACGACATTTCTTGTTTCACTGCGCCATGACGGCTGCGTCTCATTGGAGTTCCTGTATCTACTATGTAGTATGTGTATGCAGTCAAATTCTTCAGCATGCGATCTGCTGTGTAAGCACTCAGTCAGATCATCGCTGTAAGGCACACCACCATCTTCAATCTAATGCACTTCAACGAATATGGACCAAAATATTGGCGTTTCAGCTCAAAAATAAGCCACAGCGCTTGCGGGAGACTCGACCGAAGACAGCAGTATTTTTCATCCCCTATGTCCAGCTGTCAATCTTCAATTGGGTACCGAGTATCCGGAAGGCATATTCTGCTAAGCGCCTGGGAGCTCGGTTATATATCAAGTGGGACGCCCAGCCAGTTGGGAGCTAATCCAGCAGGACGGTAACGTATCGCTACCATTCACTCGGACCACAACTCAGCCTTAAGTCTAGATAGTGGTGTTGATAATGCGGTGAGGAAATATAACCTGCCCTCGAGACTAAGTCTCTGACGTTAGCACTGTCTAGCGCCAACAGTTTATTTCTCCTCTTCCATACAGATGACATGAAAAATGTCCAGAATGGGGATCAGGCATCATCAATATGCAGGAACACCGAAATAGTGCTTCGGATAGAGCTAGGAGGGCATCAAGTTCAGTCCATTGGTGAGAATATCTTCATTTCCTCCTGCAGTCAGCTCGTTTGCCGCCGTTCTGGATCTTGTTGCTCTCGGATCATGCGCGTCCATGATATGAGACGAAGAGTTCTCTATAGCAACGCGGACCTTGATACAGCTTGAAATTGTATAAAGAGTTGAAGTATCTGCTGGTTTTGAGATTCTGTAGCAACTCCTCATCAGATCAAACACACCCCGACAGGCTTCGGGTTCCCTTTTCATTCATTCGTTCCCTCGTTCGTTCATTGAATCAGTTACTTCATTGCTTTGAGTTTCATCATGAAGTCTTCACTCTTTCTCGCTTCCTCTCTCCTTGCACTATTCCCCTCTTGTCTTCATGCAATGGCCATCCAAGGTTTTCCCGAAGACGTGAGGATCGGCGAGCCGACCTTTGTCGAGAGGGGAAACACCACCACGACAAAGCGTCAAGTCGCGGACCCCCCTGACAACTGTTGGGTTCAAGGCCTTGGCCAGTCAAGCTACTGGTTTCTACCAGTCTACTCAGGCGACGATGTGTATGCTTGCATCATGGCTCGCAAGAGGATGACAGGGTCGTCCTGGGTTTGCCCCAGAGATGACTGGTGGCCAGACTCCTACGTTGATGAGATCGTCTCGGCAGGTCAAGAACAAATCTTCAAAGAAGGCGGCGGCAAAACAACCGAAAAGGGAGTTTTCAAGGCCCGGTTCGAAGGAACCACTCGCAAAATTGAGGATAAGGAGGGCATGTCAGCCCTGCTTGACATGCTGTTCCGATATACTCTGCCCAACTGCGATGCTAGTTATTCACTTTGCGTGACTAAGTCTCGTCATTACTACTACCAGTACAAAGGAGATGTAAGTATCCCTTGCACTGATTCGTCTAAGATGTGCTAACAGAGACAAAGACCATTGGTATTAAACACAAAGAGTCCGACTGCCGTGGATGGTTTGGTATTGGCGGCGACACCTACGCTTACTGCCCTGGGGGTAGTCATTGCCAAAAAGATTAGACGGAGATTTGGATTTGTCGACAGTTATCCATATGTTTAGTTCCTGGTTTATGTTTGTCTTGCTTGCGCGTTTTCAAGGGTTGTGTATAACGTGTACCACGTACGATCTAGATTATCTGTTGTTAGTTGAAGCGATGTAAGAATGGATGGATGAGTAATTGGTAATATGTTTATTCGGCTGTGTCCGCGTATTCAAGTTAACCTTCATTAAAGAGTTACATTACACCCCACGCGCGTTACCATAGATGTGGCACCTGTAAATGAAAGACCGATAGATAAAGGAGACGTCATTTTAGGTTTGCGAAAATGACAGACAGCAAAAATTCCCAAAGAGAGTCTGGGGCAACGTTAGATATTATCGTTCGTGTGAATTGAAGCGCGCGGCTCGCAAGTTTCTATTTCTAGGTAGTGCCCGTTTCCCGTCCACGAGAGTTGAAGTCCTCAACGAGTCTCAGCCAACGAATCCGATACGAGCAATGCCGCTCCAGACCACAAAGGGGGGCCTGTTTCAGCATAGAGGGTTGGCATCCAATCAAGCCTCTGATGTCATGAGCCCCCCAGAGTGCCCAGTTTTCGCTGCTTAACTTCGCTAGGTGGGGGAACTTATCCTGTCGGCTAAGCAGCCGCTGCAGCGCAAGATCCAGTGAAGCCCCCCTGTTGTAAAGATTAGTGCCCATGTGTCCAATCATACACCGCTTCGTTCTTCTTTTGGAATTGGT